CTCACTAAAGAAAGCCTTGTATCCAGATTGCAGAAGGTAGACCTCTGGATAATACAGCTCTGTGTAACGGTGACTGTTGGCTTGTCTGTCTTCGCTTCTCAAGTGACGCATCCTGTAGAAAGAGAACATGAACATTTGAATAAAGTCTATGGTGACTGAGGGACGATATGGTATATCTCGGAAAATCTTACGTTTGAAGAGCTTACATTAGGCGAAAAATAGTATATCCAATAACAGAAGTAATGTAATATGACTGCTAAACAACTTACATTTTAGGAACTCTTTCGGATGAGAACTAATATGCGAGTATGATAGAACTTGTTGCGAACCTCTGTTCAATATGTGCAAGTTTAATATATGTGTAAGTTAAATATATGTGTAAGTTTGTATTGAATAGAAAGTAGTGTTACTTGGACAGCAACTGTCTATAGGTATGTGCTCTGTCATCACTTCTGACAGCACAAAGTTGTCAACACACAAGAAAATAATGAGTTGTCGCAGTACCCTTACATGTGTAAGTTTAACATATGTGTAAGTTTAATACATGTTTAAGTTAAATATATGTTGAAGTTTGTATTGAATAGAAAGTAGTGTTACTTGGACAGCAACTGTAGATAGGTATGTGCTGTCATCACTTCTGACAGCACAAAGTTGTCAACACACAAGAAAATAATGAGTTATCGCAGTACCTTACATGTGTAAGTTTAACATATGTGTAAGTTTAATACATGTTTAAGTTAAATATATGTGTAAGTTTGTATTGAATAGAAAGTAGTGTTACTTGGACAGCAACTGTCTATAGGTATGTGCTGTTATCACTTCTGACAGCACAAAGTTGTCAACACACAAGAAAATAATGAGTTGTCGCAGTACCTTACATGTGTAAGTTAAATATGTGTAAGTTAAAAATATGTGTGAGTTAAATATATGTGTAAGTTTGTATTGAATAGAAAGCAGTGTTACTTGGACAGCAACTGTCTATAGGTATGTGCTCTGTTATCACTTCTGACAGCACAAAGTTGTCAACACACAAGAAAATAATGAGTTGTCGCATTACCTTACATGTGTAAGTTTAACATATGTGTACGTTTAACATATGTGTAAGTTTAATACATGTTTAAGTTAAATATATGTGTAAGTTTGTATTGAATAGAAAGTAGTGTTACTTGGACAGCAACTGTCTATAGGTATGTGCTGTCATCACTTCTGACAGCACAAAGTTGTCAACACACAAGAAAATAATGAGTTGTCGCAGTACCTTACATGTGTAAGTTTAACATATGTGTAAGTTTAATACATGTTTAAGTTAAATATATGTGTAAGTTTGTATTGAATAGAAAGTAGTGTTTCTTGGACAGCAACTGTCTATAGGTATGTGCTGTCATCACTTCTGACAGCACAAAGTTGTCAACACACAAGAAAATAATGAGTTGTCGCAGTACCTTACATGTGTAAGTTTAACATATGTGTAAGTTTAATACATGTTTAAGTTAAATATATGTGTAAGTTAAATATATGTGTAAGTTTGTATTGAATAGAAAGTAGTGTTACTTGGACAGCAACTGTCTATAGGTATGTGCTCTGTCATCACTTCTGACAGCACAAAGTTGTCAACACACAAGAAAATAATGAGTTGTCGCAGTATACGTCAGAACATTAATAGAAACGAAATAGTCTTGCAATTTGTTTTATTGAAAACTGGCCATAAATATCAACGCCATACATAAGGGTAACATTCTTTGAAAATGGTATTATAACAGTAACAATCGTCAACAACCACTTGATATACAAATGCATGAGCAGGAGAATAACAATGTTGCTTTGCAATTTGTTTCATTCAAAACAATACATGAATCGTCCCAAACATCGTAACATACTAACATTGTAACAACATCACAAGAGTGACAATCAACAAGAAAACATATCAGCTGCACCAGTCGTGTAAGAATATAACATCCAGCAAAGAGCACAACACCTCGGTTTAAAACTGCAGACAAACCATAAGATGAGAGTCTGTATGACATTGTTGATCGAAAGATGGAGAAGACATGCTTCTGACACTCATCCTTTGCCTACTTCTTCCCATCTTTTTCTGGCCTGCTGTCCCCGACTTGGATCGTGCCCGAAACTTCTTCAAATCGTCCACGTGATCAGCGTGCAGCATAGGAACGTAGGTCTGGGGTTCACACATATCCTGCAAGGAAACATACAAGAGAAATTACAAATCTATCTTGAAGAAAATCAGTTGTGCTAGTCTCCGCCCAAAATGGAAAGCATATGAAGAGTGGGCTACAATACATTGTCCATGGGAATGTAGTATATTATACAAGCAGACACCCCTACCTTGTGCTCACTAAAGAAAGCCTTGTATCCAGATTGCAGAAGGTAGACCTCGGGATAATACAGCTCTATGTAACGGTGACTGTTGGCTTTGTCTGTCTTCGCTTCTCAAGTGACGCATCCTGTAGAAAGAGAACATGAACATTTGAATAAAGTCTATGGTGACTGAGGGACGATATGGTATATCTCGGAAAATCTTACGTTTAAAGAGCTTACATTAGGCGAAAAAATAGTATATCCAATAACAGAAGTAATGTAATATGACTGCTAAACAACTTACATTTTAGGAACTCTTTCGGATGAGAACTAATATGCGAGTATGATAGAACTTGTTGCGAACCTCTGTTCAATATATGTGCAAGTTTAATATATGTGTAAGTTAAATATATGTGTAAGTTTGTATTGAATAGAAAGTATTGTTACTTGGACAGCAACTGTCTATAGGTATGTGCTCTGTCATCACTTCTGACAGCACAAAGTTGTCAACACACAAGAAAATAATGAGTTGTCGCAGTACCTTACATGTGTAAGTTTAACATATGTGTAAGTTTAATACATGTTTAAGTTAAATATATGTGGAAGTTTGTATTGAATAGAAAGTAGTGTTACTTGGACAGCAACTGTCTATAGGTATGTGCTGTCATCACTTCTGACAGCACAAAGTTGTCAACACACAAGAAAATAATGAGTTATCGCAGTACCTTACATGTGTAAGTTTAACATATGTGTAAGTTTTAATTTAATACATGTTTATGTTAAATATATGTGTAAGTTTGTATTGAATAGAAAGTAGTGTTACTTGGACAGCAACTGTGTATAGGTATGTGCTGTTATCACTTCTGACAGCACAAAGTTGTCAACACACAAGAAAATAATGAGTTGTCGCATTACCTTACATGTGTAAGTTAAATATATGTGTAAGTTAAAAATATGTGTGAGTTTAATATATGTGTAAGTTTGTATTGAATAGAAAGCAGTGTTACTTGGACAGCAACTGTCTATAGGTATGTGCTCTGTTATCACTCTGACAGCACAAAGTTGTCAACACACAAAGAAAATAATGAGCAGTCGCATTACCTTACATGTGTGTAAGTTTATGTGTAACATATGTGTACGTTTAACATATGTGTAAGTTTAATACACAGTTTAAGTTAAATATATGTGTAAGTTTGTATTGAATAGAAAGTAGTGTTACTTTGACAGCAACTGTCTATAGGTATGTGTGTTACTTGGACAGCAACTCATCACTTGCTGACAGCACAAAAAGTTGTCAACACACAAGAAAATAATGAGTTGTCGCAGTACCTTACATGTGTAAGTTTAACATATGTGTAAGTTTAATACATGTTTAAGTTAAATATATGTGTAAGTTTGTATTGAATAGAAAGTAGTGTTTCTTGGACAGCAACTGTCTATAGGTATGTGCTGTCATCACTTCTGACAGCACAAAGTTGTCAACACACAAGAAAATAATGAGTTGTTGCAGTACCTTACTTGTGTAAGTTTAACATATGTGTAAGTTTAACACATGTTTAAGTTAAATATATGTGTAAGTTAAATATATGTGTAAGTTTGTATTGAATAGAAAGTAGTGTTACTTGGACAGCAACTGTCTATAGGTATGTGCTCTGTCATCACTTCTGACAGCACAAAGTTGTCAACACACAAGAAAATAATGAGTTGTCGCAGTATACGTCAGAACATTAATAGAAACGAAATAGTCTTGCAATTTGTTTTATTGAAAACTAGCCATAAATATCAACGCCATTCATAAGGGTAACATTCTTTGAAAATGGTATTATAACAGTAACAATCGTCAACAACCACTTGATATACAAATGCATGAGCAGAAGAATAACAATGTCGCTTTGCAATTTGTTTCATTCAAAACAATACATGAATCGTCCCAAACATCGTAACATACTAACATTGTAACAACATCACAAGAGTGACAATCAACAAGAAAACATATCAGCTGCACCAGTCGTGTAAGAATATAACATCCAGCAAAGAGCACAACACCTCGGTTTAAAACTGCAGACAAACCATAAGATGAGAGTCTGTATGACATTGTTGATCGAAAGATGGAGAAGACATGCTTCTGACACTCATCCTTTGCCTACTTCTTCCCATCTTTTTCTGGCCTGCTGTCCCCGACTTGGATCGTGTCCGAAACTTCTTCAAATCGTCCACGTGATCAGCGTGCAGCATGGGAACGTAGGTCTGGGGTTCACACATATCCTGCAAGGAAACATACAAGAGAAATTACAAATCTATCTTGAAGAAAATCAGTTGTGTTAGTCTCTGCACAAAATTGAAAGCATATGAAGAGTGGGCTACAATACATTGTCCATGGGAATGTAGTATATTATACAAGCAGACACCCTACCTTGTGCTCACTAAAGAAAGCCTTGTATCCAGATTGCAGAAGGTAGACCTCGGGATAATACAGCTCTGGGTAACGGTGACTGTTGGCTTGTCTGTCTTCGCTTCTCAAGTGACGCATCCTGTAGAAAGAGAACATGAACATTTGAATAAAGTCTATGGTGACTGAGGGACGATATCGTATATCTCGGAAAATCTTACGTTTGAAGAGCTTACATTAGGCGAAAAATAGTATATCCAATAACAGAAGTAATGTAATATGACTTCTAAACAACTTACATTTTAGGACCTCTTTCGGATGAGAACTCACAATGGAAAATCAAAACTGTCGGTTGGCTAGCAGGGCGTTTAATAAGCTCTGAAATGCCTTTCTCTGTGTATATATTGGCGGCACCTTGGATATGTCCTCCCTCAAATTCGTAGGGGTACCTGCAGTCAACGATCTGATACTCGCTAATCTCGGGAAAGCGCCCTTTCATTAGTAGCTGAACCTGAAAATATGCAAGAAGATAAAACATAAGAACAAGGGGTAGATGGTTTCGACGCTCACCAAGACATCCAAATGTATTCACTTAACACTATGTGTATTTTAACTTCCATATGTATTCATTGTTGCTTCTAGATAATGTATGATGTATGGGCGTTTCTAAGGAATCGCAATATGATATACAGCAGAGACACACATACCGTTGAAGGAGTAACAGTCTTCAAATCCCTGTGGTTTCTCGTCTCTACCGTTGGAAGGGTGTGTACTCTTGTGCCATCACCAATAAGGTTTTGGTCAGCAGCTTGCAACTTTTCCACAGCAGATCGCGTTCTCTCTTCTTCTTCATCGGAATCCCAATCCAAGGATATCAGCTCTTGTCTTGAACGTTTGATTGGAGAATCTTCCTGATCATCCAAGTCTTCGCGCTGCCTTTTGGAGGGGAAAAGTGAACGTCTGGCAAGGGATCCACACAAAGAAACTGGGCTCCCATCAGAGGAACACTGAAAAAGAATAAATGAATATTCAGCAAAGGCACACAATGTACCAGACAAGATGAAAAGACACATAGGCAGAATCGTTTTGGATTTGTGATATCGATTTATGTATGCCAGTAACTAGCTAGAATGCATTCAACTATTAAAGAGCAGGATTACCAACCTCTGATAATGAGTCGGGCGATCCCAAACCACTGTCACTTGATTCGGAGTCGCTGTTTCTCCAGGCACATGGGCTGTCAAAGAGCAAGGTCTTTAGGTCAGTAAAGCTGATATCAGCCTCGGATATATGAGCCATTGTAAAACACGGGAAGACATACTACTTGTATTGGAGGAATGGAGAATAAAAATCAATGCAACTAGTAGATAAACGCTGGATGTAATGATCAATCTCCCGAGCTCGCTTGCTTATAAGCTGTTTCTTAATGAAGCCAGAGATGTCCTCTTGATTGGATTAGTGTGAGCTTATTTCACAGTGAGGTGACGGGTTGAGTGACTGAGGCCAAGTCAGCGGTGATTCAATTCAAGCTTAAAACAACACGCTTTTGTAGGCGTGACTGTATACACTGATCTATAGGTCAAATTTAATGACGACGTTGATACAGGAAACATGTTCTACTTAGCCCCTTTTATCTTAGTTCAATGCAACGTCCCTATACCAAGTAATTGGCATCTGCATTTCTACGTATGGCTTCACATACAATAACAAAACGCAATTGTGTCCCACTTGCTTGGATGTCTTGATGTGTGCATTCAAAACTTGGCCTCAACGATACCTTACTTTTGCATGTAAAGTCGACCATACACTGGTCATCCTGAATAACATACGAGTATGATAGAACATGTTGCGAACCTCTGTTCAATATATGTGCAAGTTTAATATATGTGTAAGTTAAATATATGTGTAAGTTAAATATATGTGTAAGTTTGTATTGAATAGAAAGTATTGTTACTTGGACAGCAACTGTGTATAGGTATGTGCTCTGTCATCACTTCTGACAGCACAAAGTTGTCAACACACAAGAAAATAATGAGTTGTCGCAGTATACGTCAGAACATTAATAGAAACGAAATAGTCTTGCAATTTGTTTTATTGAAAACTAGCCATAAATATCAACGCCATTCATAAGGGTAACATTCTTTGAAAATGGTATTATAACAGTAACAATCGTCAACAACCACTTGATATACAAATGCATGAGCAGAAGAATAACAATGTCGCTTTGCAATTTGTTTCATTCAAAACAATACATGAATCGTCCCAAACATCGTAACATACTAACATTGTAACAACATCACAAGAGTGACAATCAACAAGAAAACATATCAGCTGCACCAGTCGTGTAAGAATATAACATCCAGCAAAGAGCACAACACCTCGGTTTAAAACTGCAGACAAACCATAAGATGAGAGTCTGTATGACATTGTTGATCGAAAGATGGAGAAGACATGCTTCTGACACTCATCCTTTGCCTACTTCTTCCCATCTTTTTCTGGCCTGCTGTCCCCGACTTGGATCGTGTCCGAAACTTCTTCAAATCGTCCACGTGATCAGCGTGCAGCATGGGAACGTAGGTCTGGGGTTCACACATATCCTGCAAGGAAACATACAAGAGAAATTACAAATCTATCTTGAAGAAAATCAGTTGTGTTAGTCTCTGCACAAAATTGAAAGCATATGAAGAGTGGGCTACAATACATTGTCCATGGGAATGTAGTATATTATACAAGCAGACACCCTACCTTGTGCTCACTAAAGAAAGCCTTGTATCCAGATTGCAGAAGGTAGACCTCGGGATAATACAGCTCTGGGTAACGGTGACTGTTGGCTTGTCTGTCTTCGCTTCTCAAGTGACGCATCCTGTAGAAAGAGAACATGAACATTTGAATAAAGTCTATGGTGACTGAGGGACGATATCGTATATCTCGGAAAATCTTACGTTTGAAGAGCTTACATTAGGCGAAAAATAGTATATCCAATAACAGAAGTAATGTAATATGACTTCTAAACAACTTACATTTTAGGACCTCTTTCGGATGAGAACTCACAATGGAAAATCAAAACTGTCGGTTGGCTAGCAGGGCGTTTAATAAGCTCTGAAATGCCTTTCTCTGTGTATATATTGGCGGCACCTTGGATATGTCCTCCCTCAAATTCGTAGGGGTACCTGCAGTCAACGATCTGATACTCGCTAATCTCGGAAAGCGCCCTTTCATTAGTAGCTGAACCTGAAAATATGCAAGAAGATAAAACATAAGAACAAGGGGTAGATGGTTTCGACGCTCACCAAGACATCCAAATGTATTCACTTAACACTATGTGTATTTTAACTTCCATATGTATTCATTGTTGCTTCTAGATAATGTATGATGTATGGGCGTTTCTAAGGAATCGCAATATGATATACAGCAGAGACACACATACCGTTGAAGGAGTAACAGTCTTCAAATCCCTGTGGTTTCTCGTCTCTACCGTTGGAAGGGTGTGTACTCTTGTGCCATCACCAATAAGGTTTTGGTCAGCAGCTTGCAACTTTTCCACAGCAGATCGCGTTCTCTCTTCTTCTTCATCGGAATCCCAATCCAAGGATATCAGCTCTTGTCTTGAACGTTTGATTGGAGAATCTTCCTGATCATCCAAGTCTTCGCGCTGCCTTTTGGAGGGGGGAAAAGTGAACGTCTGGCAAGGGATCCACACAAAGAAACTGGGCTCCCATCAGAGGAACACTGAAAAAAGAATAAATGAATATTCAGCAAAGGCACACAATGTACCAGACAAGATGAAAAGACACATAGGCAGAATCGTTTTGGATTTGTGATATCGATTTATGTATGCCAGTAACTAGCTAGAATGCATTCAACTATTAAAGAGCAGGATTACCAACCTCTGATAATGAGTCGGGCGATCCCAAACCACTGTCACTTGATTCGGAGTCGCTGTTTCTCCAGGCACATGGGCTGTCAAAGAGCAAGGTCTTTAGGTCAGTAAAGCTGATATCAGCCTCGGATATATGAGCCATTGTAAAACACGGGGAAGACATACTACTTGTATTGGAGGAATGGAGAATAAAAATCAATGCAACTAGTAGATAAACGCTGGATGTAATGATCAATCTCCCGAGCTCGCTTGCTTATAAGCTGTTTCTTAATGAAGCCAGAGATGTCCTCTTGATTGGATTAGTGTGAGCTTATTTCACAGTGAGGTGACGGGTTGAGTGAGTGAGGCCAAGTCAGCGGTGATTCAATTCAAGCTTAAAACAACACGCTTTTGTAGGCGTGACTGTATACACTGATCTATAGGTCAAATTTAATGACGACGTTGATACAGGAAACATGTTCTACTTAGCCCCTTTTATCTTAGTTCAATGCAACGTCCCTATACCAAGTAATTGGCATCTGCATTTCTACGTATGGCTTCACATACAATAACAAAACGCAATTGTGTCCCACTTGCTTGGATGTCTTGATGTGTGCATTCAAAACTTGGCCTCAACGATACCTTACTTTTGCATGTAAAGTCGACCATACACTGGTCATCCTGAATAACATGCGAGTATGATAGAACATGTTGCGAACCTCTGTTCAATATATGTGCAAGTTTAATATATGTGTAAGTTAAATATATGTGTAAATTAAATATATGTGTAAGTTTGTATTGAATAGAAAGTATTGTTACTTGGACAGCAACTGTCTATAGGTATGTGCTGTCATCACTTCTGACAGCACAAAGTTGTCAACACACAAGAAAATAATGAGTTGTCGCAGTACCTTACATGTGTAAGTTTAACATATGTGTAAGTTTAATAGATATTTAAGTTAAATATATGTGTAAGTTTGTATTGAATAGAAAGTAGTGTTACTTGGACAGCAACTGTCTATAGGTATGTGCTGTCATCACTTCTGACAGCACAAAGTTGTCAACACACAAGAAAATAATGAGTTGTCGCAGTACCTTACATGTGTAAGTTTAACATATGTGTAAGTTTAATACATGTTTAAGTTAAATATATGTGTATGTTTGTATTGAATAGAAAGTAGTGTTACTTGGACAGCAACTGTCTATAGGTATGTGCTCTGTCATCACTTCAACACAAAGTGACAGCAACAAAGTTGTCAACACACAAGAAAATAATGAGTTGTCGCAGTAATAGAAACCTTACATATCAACGTGTAAGTTATTATAACAGTAACAATCGTCAACAACCACTTTAATAGCATAACAATGTCGCTTTGCAATTTGTTTCATTCAAAACAATAAATGAATCGTCCCAAACATCGTAACATACTAACATTGTAACAACATCACAAGAGTGACAATCAACAAGAAAACATATCAGCTGCACCAGTCGTGTAAGAATATAACATCCAGCAAAGAGCACAACACCTCGGTTTAAAACTGCAGACAAACCATAAGATGAGAGTCTGTCATTGTTGATCGAAAGATGGAGAAGACATGCTTCTGACACTCATCCTTTGCCTCTTCTTCCCATCTTTTCTGGCCTGCTGTCCCTCGAACTTGGATCGTGCCCGAAACTAGAAATCGTCCACGTGATCAGCGTGCAGCATGGGAACGTAGGTCTGGGGTTCACACATATCCTGCAAGGAAACATACAAGAGAAATTACAAATCTATCTTGAAGAAAATCAGTTGTGTTAGTCTCTCCGCACAAAATGGAAAGCATATGAAGAGTGGGCTACAATACATTGTCCATAGGAATGTAGTATATTATACAAGCAGACACCCTACCTTGTGCTCACTAAAGAAAGCCTTGTATCCAGATTGCAGAAGGTAGACCCCGGGATAATACAGCTCTGGGTAACGGTGACTGTTGGCTTGTCTGTCTTCGCTTCTCAAGTGACGCATCCTGTAGAAAGAGAACAATGAACATTTGAATAAAGTCTATGGTGACTGAGGGACGATATGGTATATCTCGGAAAATCTTACGTTTGAAGAGCTTACATTAGGCGAAAAAATAGTATATCCAATAACAGAAGTAATGTAATATGACTTCTAAACAACTTACATTTTAGGACCTCTTTCGGATGAGAACTCACAATGGAAAATCAAAACTGTCGGTTGGCTAGCAGGGCGTTTAATAAGCTCTGAAATGCCTTTGTCTGTGTATATATTGGCGGCACCTTGGATATGTCCTCCCTCAAATTCGTAGGGGTACCTGCAGTCAACGATCTGATACTCGCTAATCTCGGGAAAGCGCCCTTTCATTAGTAGCTGAACCTGAAAACATGCAAGAAGATAAAACATAAGAACAAGGGGTAGATGGTTTCGACGCTCACCAA